AAGGGCTAAAAAATAGTATTAGAAAAAATATTTATTGCAAATAAATGTTTCATATTTACCATTTTCACACAGCAGGTGGCGAGTGTAGTTCAGGTAGTCCAGGGATTCAGTTAGCTTACTAGGCTGTGAATACAGATCTGAGTAGCAGTCAGATTACATGCACAGCTGAATGACTCAGAGGAGACACACACCCCCTCCCTTTCCTCTAACGCAGGGGTGTCAAACTGGTGGCCCTCCAGCTATTGCAAAACTACAAGTCCCATCATGCCTTTGCCTTTGGGAGTCATGCATGTAACTGTCAATCTTGCAATGCCTCATGGGACTTGTAGTTTGGCAACAGCTGGAGGGCTGCCAGTTTGACACCCGTGCTCTAATGGATATGGTGCTGTCTTCAAAGTGCAGAAGAAATGAACAGATGCTGGCACCCTGTGCTGAACTCCATGTTCTTGATTGCATACTTGGTCCAGCTTGGCACAGTGTCAGTGTTGGAATACAGTGTTCATGTATTTTGCAACAACTACTGTACATCAGTATCAGCATTCAGAAGAAATATACTCTTCAACCAGTAGATGTCAGTGTTTATAAGTTTGTAATGGCATCTATGGTATACTTTTTTTTTTTTTTTTTTTTTTTCTATAATAAAGTTCCTGTTTCCAGTTTTATAGAGAAGCAGCAAATAAACACGTGAACTGTACACTGTCTGTTCTGTAGGGCATGTGGCGATTGGACGCGTACAATCATTTTGTTAAAGATCCACCGTCTTGTATCATACTCTGCAAATATCATTCTCTCTCCCTCCAGCCCCCTCCCCTTGCAAGGAATGTGGTCTGTGTGTGTGCTGAGTTCAGGAGTACGCAGGGCACAGCTGGATATGCTTCATGGTTGTAAACCCAATTAGCTGGTCCCATGATGTCTGTCAGACTCTTGCCTTGGCCTGGTCGTAAAGCTATAAATCAGTCCGTCACTGGACATGAAAAGCATTCCAGAGGGCAGTAACACGTACATTCCACTTGAAACCACGTTTTCATACAAATTCATAAATCCCAACAGGAACAAGGTACAATAAAACAAAGCATATATTCAGATAGGTCAGTTTAATACGAGTTACCTGACACCTTACACCCCTATGTGGCACCTACATGAGAGTAGAAAGCAATATGTTATCTGGAACGGTAAGATATGTCATATTTGATGTCTGGATGTTCAGGATAGCATTCTGCTTATTAATCTACCAGTGGCTAGGCTGCTACATGTACCTAGTGAAGGTTATTGGCCATGGTATAAACGCGTGAGGGATTTGGTCATAGCCTGAGTCCCCGCCTAAACACCCCTCCCCAAATAAGGTGATTGGCTCTCTGCTTTAAGGAGACACCCTGCTGGGTTCCTAGAAAAAAGGCTGTCATGCCTGGAGGAGACTATAGAGTGGATCTGCAGAGCCTCTCAGCCCTGACCCAAATTTGACCCCTCTGACTATTTTTCCCAGCTGCTATCCAGCCTCCTACTGAAAAACTAGCTCCCCCTAGCTTTCCTAGGAGGGTACTACACAAAAATACGATTCATTGAAAGTGAACCTATTTTAAGCTTTTAAATAACTTGCCTAATATTAGCCTCTACAAGGTCCCTTTGATGGCCAGATAAGTCTCATACGTGCTCTCCTCTGCACATGGTTTTATAAGCGAGCTTCTTTGCTATGCTCCATCCAACTACCAGCTGGCTGTTGATAGAGAACACCTCAGCTGCCAAGGGTGCTTTCTTTAACCATTTCAAGTCCGGACACTTTCACCCCTTCCTGCCCAGGCCAATTTTCAGCTTTCAGCGCTGTCACACTTTGAATGACAGTGGCGTGGTCATGCAACATTGTACCCATATGAATTTTTTTTAAAAAATTTTTTGCAGACAGATAAAACTTTATTTTGGTGGTATTTATTCACCACTGGGATTTTCTTTTTTTTTTTTTTTTTGCTATATAAATGAAAGTCCAAAAATTTTGAAAGTTTTTCTTATAAAATTTTGCAAATAAATAATGTTTCTTCATAAATCTTGGCCAAAATGTATTCAGTTACCTTTTTAGTAAAAAAAAAAATAACCCAAATTCGTTTATAACCAAAAAATTATAATTTTTCAAACAAAAAATTCACATTTTTATTTTATTATTTTTATATTATTATTTATGGGGTTTTTTTTTAATATACTGTCACCCTAGCAGTACAGTGTCACCATAGTGACACTGTATTATTTGTGGGAGGTGATGATTTTTTTTTTTTTTTTTTTTACACCCATAAAGGCTGTAAAAGCAATCATTCTCTTTCTCGCTGCCTGCATTCTTGCAGCCATTGAGAAATACTGAGAGCTGTGATTGGTCACATGGTACAAGTCTGTTGTGAATAGCCTTGAACCATGTGACCTCTGTGATCATTCACAGATTTTACACGTAATAAGCAATGTCAGAAGTGACATCTTGCTTACTACTATTCATGTGATTACTGATTGGCCAATCAGTGATCACATGATCGGGACCTCACACACCAGATCGCAGTGCTGCGCACTCCCAGGGAGTGCGCACAGGCTAAAATGGCAGGTGCCGTTTATAAACAGCAACCCACCCCTGCACTACTCCCTTCATGCCGTTTATATACATGGGCCGGATGGGAAGTGATTAAATAGGGAACCAACTGATGTCTGACTCCGGGGGTGGTGCTTCATTTTGAAACTGGGGAAACCAAGCCTTTAGTAGCAGAAACAGACAGGCACACAAAATATACTTTTAAATTGGAACTAAACCCATCAATTTAACGGTTTCCCTACACAATTGTAGTGAATAATAACTGTCACAGTTGCTTGTGTTCCCAACCAATCTGTCAAGCCATCAAATGACTGGTGTTATAACTGATCACATATGCGGCACCATGGTAACTGCAGATCAAACAGAGGCTAAGATGGCAGCTTCCTTGGCTGTAAAGGATAGGAGGGTTTATTTCCACTTTAAGGCTAAGATTATAACTTTCAATTCCTTTTCGTAAACCTATCCTTCACTGGTAACCCCCTCAGCTTGGTCATAGGCTTTATGTTTCTGAATTTGTGTCCTGTGAGATCTGTGAAGCCTGACTTTTATTCCACAAAGGCTACACAACAAACATCTTGTGAAAAGCAAGCATACAAGTAACTATAACTTTAACATGGTGGGACCAACCTAGAAAGGGTCCTACACAAGTGCCTGTAGGAATGACCCATGGAACTATGAGGCCAGCTAGTGGCATTTAAAGGAATTGCACAGAAATCCCCCTAGTGAATACCAAAAGTCTTACTGCACTCTCCTATATAACCGAAAACCATGAGCATTGAAACATACAGTATGTTGCCATAAGTTTTGGGACACATCTCCAAATCATTGGATTTAGATGTTCCAATCACCTCCATTGCCACAGGTGTATAAAATCATCACCTAGGCATGCAGACTGCTTCTACAAACATTGGTGAAAGAATGGGTCGCTCTCAGGAGCTCAGTGACTCCAAGCGTGGTCCCGTGATAGGTTGTCACCTGTGCAATAAGTCCATCCGTGACATTTCCTGGCTACTAAATATTCCGCGGTCCACGGTTAGTGGTATTATAACAAAGTGGAAGCAGCTGGGAACAACAGCAACTCCGCCACTAAGTGGTAGGCCACGTAAAATGACAGAGCAGGGTAAGCATATGCTGAAGCGCACAGTGCACAGAAGTCGACAACTGTCTGCAGAGTCAATAGCTAAAGACCTTCAAACTTCATGTGGCCTTCAGATTAGCACAACAGTGCATAGAGAGCTTCGTGGAATGGTTTTCCATGGCCGAGCAGCTGCATCCAAGCCTTACATCACCAAGTGCAATGCAAAGTGTCGGATGCAGTGGTGTAAAGCACGCCGCCACTGGACTCTAGGGCAGTGGAGACGTGTTCTCTGGAGTGACCAATCACGCTTCTCTGTCTGGCAATCTGATGGCCGTATCTGGGTTTGGCTGTTGCCAAGAGATTGGTACTTGCCTGACTGCATTGTGCCAAGTGTAAAGTTTGGTGGAGGAGGGATTATGGTGTGGGGTTGCTTTTCAGGAGTTGGGCTTGGCCTCCTAGTTCCAGTGAAGGGAACTTTTAAGGTGTCAGCATACCAAGACATTTTGGACAATTTCATGCTCCCAACTTTGTGGGAAGAGTTTGGGGATGGCCCCTTCCTGTTCCAACATGACTGCACACCAGTGCACAAAGCAAGGTCCATAAAGACATGGATGAGCAAGTTTGGGGTGGAAGAACTTGACTGGCCTGCACAGAGTCCTGACCTCAACCCCATAGAACACCTTTGGGATGAATTAGAGTGGAGAATGCAAGCCAGGCCTCCTCCCCCGACATCAGAGCCTGACCTCACAAATGTACTTCTGGAAGAATGGTCAAACCTTCCCATAGACACCCTCCTAAACCTTGTGGACGGCCTTCCCAGAAGAGTTGAAGCTGTTATAGCTGCAAAGGGCGGGGCCAACTCAATATTGAACCCTACAGACTAAGACTGGGATGCCATTAAAGTTCATGTGCGTGGAAAGTCCGGCCGACCAATACTTTTGGCAATATAGTGTAGGTGCACTAGACGTCCACCCATATTTTAAGATAATTATTTATCAGTGTCTAATAAAAACTTAAATATCAGTACTAGGTACACTGATCTTTAAAAAAAAAAAAGGGCACGCCTATGTTACTAAAATCACAACTCTAGCATGGAAGAGAGATATATTACCTATTGCTTCATGAATCTGATAAATCCTATTTTAATTTTCAGGTTCTTATTTATACCTGTGTAATGCAACGCTTCGAACTTCCAATATCTTGAAACTCTGAGCTCTAGTCATGAACTGGTAAATTATTTCATTCAATACACTGAAAAATTGGGAATTGCACTCAATAGACTGAAAAATCGGGAACTGCAGTCAAGGACATCCCCAAAAAAAATATATAGAGAAATGTATATATTTTTTTCTACAAAACATTGCAAAACTAAAACCCATCACATCAATTAAAATGACAGCATACTACTACACCCCCACCCAGGGGCGGACTGACAACTCATGGGGCCCCTGGGCAATAGGGGATCATGGGGCCCCTGTGTCCTTGCCCAAACTCAAAAAAGCCTATGAAAAAGGTTGCACAGGCAGTCCAACTCCTCCAGGATGGCACATCAATACGTGCCATTGCCAGAAGGTTTGCTGTGTCTCCCAGCACAGTCTCAAGAGCATGGAGGAGATTCCAGGAGACAGGCTGTTACTCTAGGAGAGCTGGACAGGGCCATAGAAGGTCCTTAACCCATCAGTAGGACCGGTATCTGCTCCTTTGTGCAAGGAGGAACGGGATGAGCACTGCCAGAGCCCTACAAAATTACCTCCAGCAGGCCACTGGTGTAAATGTCTCTGACCAAACAATCAGAAACAGACTTCATGAGGGTAGCCTGAGGGCCTGATGTCCTCTAGTGGGCGCTGTGCTCACTGCTGGCACCATAGAACATGATTGGCATTCACCATTGAACACCAGAATTGGCAGGTCCACCACTGGCGCCCTGTGCTTTTCACAGATCAGAGCAGGTTCACCCTGAGCACATGTGACAGACGTGAAAGGGTCTGGAGAAACCATGGAGAATGTTCTGCTGCTGCCTGTAACATGGCTCAGCATGACCATTTGGTGGTGGGTCAGTGATGGTCTGGGGAGGCATATCCTACGCTGGAGCAGTGGGTCCTGGGTTCCTCCTGGTGCATGACAATGACTGACCTAATGTGGGGAGAGTATGCAGGCAGTTCCTGGAGGAACTGATACCATTGAATTGCTCCCATGCTCGCCTGACCTAAATCCAATAGAACACCTCCGGGATATCATGTTTCGGTCCATCCGATGCCGCCAGGTTGCACCTCAGACTGTCCAGGAGCTCAGTGATGTTCTGGTCCAGATCTGGGAGGAAATACCCCAGGACACCATCCGTCGTCTCATTAGGATCATGCCCCGATGTTGTCAGGCATGCATAGAAGCACGTGGGAGCCATACAAACTACTGAGTACCATTTTGAGTTGCTGCAATGAAATTTCAGCTAAATGGACTAGCCTGCTGCATCATTTTTTCACTTTGGTTTTTGGGGTGTCTTTGAATTCAGTCCTCTGTAGGTTGATGATTTTCATTTCCATCAAACGATGGGGCATCCTTACATTCCTAACACATTACCCAGTCCATATCCAGCATGATATTTTTCCCCATTGAGATCTGATCTGTTTTCAAAGTATTCCTTTCATTTTTTTGAGCAGTGTATATTTAGACCTTCTAATAAATAATTTGGGTTATTAAATATCTATTAATTAATCAAAATTTAAAAATGGTAGTCACCCAGGTCAATGAATGCCTAGTGAATATCATCTCTAGCTGTGAGCTCACCCCAGCATCAACTAGATTCTGCTGTCAAAACTTTTTTCTTTTTTTTTTTAATGCAGTTGCAATGCCAATATCTACCAATGGGTGGAGATAGCGAACCATACTCAACATTGTACTACCAGCCATTACAAGTAATAGGAAAAACCTTTGTGATTTAAAAATATCAGCCAATCAGAGGCTTACAAGTTGTATAATGCTGCAGCTAGGTCTGAAAGTGCATGAGAAAAAAATGCAGATATTTCTCATGCTGTAAATGATATAGGATTGAATGTAAAGAGTTTGGATGGTAGTATGAGTGAGGGCGTAGAACCAAGGGTAGCAAATGTTATAAAGCTTTGGTTTTGCTTGTCATTTTTTACTGGAAAAAGTGATCATTGACTGGAAATATCCAACACATTTCAACTGATTCCAATAAGAGTCAGCAATCTCTTGGGATCCATACATATTCAGACAGGACCCTCTTAATAGCATCAATTGGCCCCTGAGTAAAGTAATGCACTTGGGCCCTTACCAGCCTGACCCAATTTGCTCATCTACTCTCAAGAATTAGTATAAATAGTTAATGGAATTAAACATATATTATTTATTATTACTCAATTTGAAACCATAAGATGTGCCATAAATCCAAGACTAATCAATACAAAAGGCACAGTATGGGGGGGGGGTAGGCAGAAGGGCCTACCGCCCCCCCCCCCCCCCCTCCATAGGAGGATGCAATACTGGGAACAGAAGGGCACAGTACGGTTTTTGGGATGCTGTCTGGGACACGGCCATCCCAGGACAGCTTAGTAAAAAAAGCATGACTGTCCCAGCAAATCCGGGACAGTTGGCAAGTATGATGTAATGCAAACTTATGATGGCCGGGGGCCCCCAGGGGTGCCCATGCATTAACCTCTTCCCATCCGGCCCATGCCGATAAACGACTGGACGGGAGCATTGCCAATGCGGAGGGCCGTTTCTAAACGTCCCCCACATCCATTGCCTGTGCACGCTCTCTGGGAGTGTGCAGTGCCGTGATCTGTGCCCGCTTGTCCACCGGACAACCACAGAACACAGATCGCTGTTCTGGGCTGCTGTGTGAGGTTCTGATTCATGTGATCAGTGATTGGCCAATCAGTAGTAGAACAGTAGTAAACAAGATGTCACTTCCTCACATCATTGTTTACTACTTGTGAATGATTAGAGGTCACATGGTACATGGCCATTCACAACAGCCTTGTACCATGTGACAAGCTGTGACCAAGCTCACTCACAGTATTTCTCAATGGCTGCAAGAATGCAGCCAGAGAGAAGGAGAAATGATTGCTTTTACACCCATAAAGGCTGTAAAAGCAATAGGTGTAAAAAAAAAAAAAAAGAATCACCCCCCACAAGTACTACAGTGTCACTATGGTGACACTGTACTGCTAGGGTGACTGTATGTAAAAAGAAAAAAAAAGTGTGTGTATATGTATGTATTTGCAAAATCTTATGAGAAAATCAATGTTTTTTTTTCAAAATTTATATAGCAAAAAAAAAAAAATAAAATCCCAGTGGTGAATAAATACCACAAAGAAAGTTCTATCTCTCTCCAAAAAAAATGTGAAAAATGTAATTTGGGTACAGTGTTGCATGATCGAGCAATTGTCATTCAAAGTGTGAAAGCTGAAAATTGGCCTGGACTGGAAGGGGGTGAAAGTGTCCAGACTTGAAGTGGTTAAGACAGCCCGGTATTCAGATCTTCAACCAATCCAGTCAAAATCAGATTGGACCAGAATTTCCTCATACAGCATCTAGTAGTAGAACAGCAAGTTAGCTTTGTTTGCCTCTTCATAGCTACAATATTATATTTGCTTTGGCTCATTAGAATTTATTATTATACAGCCCCAGCTACTGTGCTGTGGTTTGCCTTTGTTTGCAAAGCTGAGGCTGTAAGGTGTATGCGACACTTGCTATACTGAGGATACCTAACTAGTAGTCCCTAGCGTAGGTACTGAGCCGTGGATAGCCTGGGAGAAATTGGACTTTTTATTCCCCTGGTATCTGAGCCCCAGAGATCTTGGTTGTAAGGGCTCAAACCAGGAGAGGACTGACCATTTTTTTCGAGCACTCGGGCCCTGCCAGTTCGCGAGTGCCCAGGGTCAGTAGGGGGCCCCATCCCGGACTAAGATGCATCCCTGGTACCTTTTTTTTCATATAGGCTTTTTTGGTCTGGTTTGAGTGTGGGTGAGGACACAGGGGCCCCATGATCCCCTACTGCTGGGGTCCCCATGAATTGTCAGTACACCCCTGGCTCAAACTGAACTGCAAAACCTTTAAATGTAGCTTTTTTTTCATAAAAATAATTAGAAATTTAATTAAAAGCTTTCTTCCTCCTTTTTTTTTTTATCCAAAAACAGTGCTTCCTGTAAGCTCCATTCACACCTGTGCGACTCCAAAGTCTGACTCCAATGACTGTGACTTTGGTGCAACTTTGAGTGCAACTATTGATCTGACTTTACACTCTCTAGCACTAACCTTTTCAAAGCCGCTGCGACTTTAAGTCGCACAGATCCGAATGGGTGCCATTGAACATAACGGGCTGCGACTTGTCATACAACTTTGTGTCCAAAGTTGCATTCACAAGTGTGAATTGAGACTAAAAAAAATACTTAAATTGTAACTTTAGACATCTTGAATGCTTTCTCTGCTTTAAAGACCTAAAGCTGAATTCCAGGTATGGCTATTTTTGCATTGTTACATCAGTCTAGTTTGGACCAATGTAGGTAGGCATGTGCCATACCTGGCCAATCCATGAGAAAGCTGATTAAAGATACAATTTTTCTTTAACCTTAACACGTCCTGATATGTAGAATGCAGCAGGGAAAACTGCTGCGAAGCCCTGAAACGCGTAGCCATGCCCAGGGGTGGACTGACCATTTTGAAACTTGGGCACTGCCCGAGAGCCCAGGGTCAGTAGGGGGCCCCATGAGATGCCCCTGGTACCGTTCTTTTTTTTTTTTTTTTTTTTTTCATAGGCTTTTTTGAGTTTGAGCAAGAACACGGGCCCCATGATCCCCTATTGCCCGGGGCCCCATGAGTTGTCAGTCCGCCCCTGGCCACACCCAAAAGCATGGCATCATCTGATCCTAGCTCTCTCTTGACGCCACCTCACTTCCGGTCCCAGACAGCAGTGCGTTCCACGGTGCTTCTCAGTGCCCAAACAGACCCAGCCGCTTCAACTTTTATCTTTTCAATGAAACAAGGAATATTACCGGGTTGCTGATTACATATATTATGGAGAAATAATTTGATTCCCCATCTGTGCTAAACGGTGTGGATGGACAAGTCTGCAGTGCAAGCTATTGTTTTCTGACAGCTGACACCTGCGGCTATCAGAGTACCTGAATTTCGATTGCATCTGATCAGAGAATTTTCTGCCTGCCTCAAGGCTTGTCGATGCCAACCGGGTCACCCAAGGATTGAACTATAGACAATTCAGAAGGAATCAGATGAAACTCCGTCTGTGTATGGCCAGCCCTACACACACATTCGCAAGGGTTGGAAAGTATATGGATCTATAGTGCAACCAATATGTTCTATTGCACGCCCATATAACTGTGTTTTCATGGGAATGCCATTATTGAACTATTTTCTTTTGAAATGTAGTTTGTTGAAAGAATTTCATACATAGCTGGTGTATACTGTAACAGCATGTATGTGTATACAGGTGAGAGCGTACTGTCAGTTTGCTGCATAGGTGTGTCGAGGAATGCAGAAGCTCTGCCCAAA